AGAACCTTCTTGCTGCAAGGCAGCAGTGCTACCCACTGCGCCACTCAGCAAACCGCCCTAATATCAGTGGTCGTATTCCCTTACTAAATGATTGATTTATCTCTTTCAAATGGTTTGGATGCAGTTACATGTGTAAATGGTTATTTTAATGTTTTGTCAGTTATAATTGTTTATTTATTTATTTAACAATTAGATACATATTTCTATTGCTTCTAGAAACTGTTACTTACAGATTTTGATTACAGTCCCTATGAAGAGTAACTGTCTTATTATCTATACAATCTATTATATCTATATTGGATGCCTCGTATATTCCCATTATTTTTTCTTTACATTATGATTAAGCAATGAAGATCCTTTATAATCTGTTATCGTGACAAAAGGGATCTTTGGTTTAACAAACCAGACTCCTAGGGGGTAAAGTCTGGGGAAAAGTAAAACATTAGAATTTATATATTACACTATGGGTATATGTCTATTTTATTTAACAGCCTATTCAGGGTCTGGCTAGCCTTTTTATTAATGAAAATTCCTAACAAGATTTAGCATTAGTCATCCAATAAAATATACAATTAAAGCGACATTGTATGGCTATCATTGTTGCTGTTATTCTTCATTGAATTAGAAAAGACACCACGTTTCATTGCAACAGATTTGATGGAAAAGAAAGCAGAATTAAAAATGTAAATGTCCACAAGATTTTAGAGCTTGTTTATTGCTTTTTTTATGCTTGTGACTGAGGACCAGAAAATGGAAATAAAAATCATTGAGAATGCCTATACAAGTTCTCACTCATCTGGCTCATGGCAAGCACAAAACTGGCTTAAATCAGAGTCAAACAGACTTCAATAGTTTTTTCTGAAAACATTTTGACCTATCCAGGGTTTTTTGTCAATTCTGGGTAGCTTTTCGTAAAGCAACCTGTAGTTGGAAAACTGTTGTTTTCAGGTTGCTGGGGGCCCATATTTAAATTTAGATGCAAATCAGTGACCCACCCTTTTTTTTTTTTCTGGGTCTTTGGAGCATGTAGTTTTGTGAATTTTGTGTTTAGTTATTTGAGTCCCGATGAGAGTTCTGGTGTACTTTTGGACTTTCCCAAGAAAGTTAGTCGAATTAATATGTCCCAACACAGAACCGAGGACCAACTATTCAGGCCTAACAGACAGTGGGATTACTCAAAAAGAGTTTATTCAAAACCAGCGGATTGGAGTAGCAGTGGCTAGGGCATCTAAGGCTGGAACTTTTGCAGGAGAGAAATACAGCATAAAGACCGTGAAAATCTGACAAAGGATGATTATCCATGTAAGTCACTAACCTAGAGAATGAGGTATGATCCAGCCAGGGCACTACAAGATGTAGAGGGCACCGCCCAGAGTGTCTCAGGTGCTGCAGCCCTGGAGAATGGAGAACAAGCAATGGTTGAGAGGCAGAACAAGTCAGGATCTGGTACTAAGAAACAACAACTCTAAAAGCAGAGAGACTGGCTTTCCAAAGGTGGAAACCCTAATTTATTTATTTAGCTATTAAAAATAATGTTGGTAATACTAACAAGAAAAGAAATGTATGTACTTAAAAATGTGCTAGGAATAATCTTTATCATTCATGTAAAGGATTTTTGAAAGCATAAAGTACCTAGCTTGTTGAATGTATTCCACATGTCTAGTTCTTCATTATAGTTTGTCCTACTCATAGTATAATATATGTATGTATATATATATGTATGTATATATATATATATATATATATATATATATATATATATATATATATATATATATATATATATATATATATATATATATATATATATATATATATATATATATATATATTATACTTTTGTGTATCTCCTTAAAGAGTCTGAAGTTAAAGGGAATATGTCTTTTGTCAAGATTACAAATATCTTCATAGCCAAGTCATAAATTTAGGAGAAAGCAATGGGAAGTGGTAGCCTAGTGGTTAGGGTATTGTGCTTGGCTCCCAGAAGTTCAAGCCCCACTCCCACGGATTGCCACTCTGGGCCTCTGCGCAAGACCCTTAACCCCCAAACTGCTCCCCGGGCACCATAAAATTGCAGCACACTGCTTCCCAAGGGGACTGTTTAAATGAACGAGTGTTTATTTTGTTGCTTTGTTCATGTGAGAGTGTTATGACAATAAAGTTGAATTCCATTCTTCTTCTAGATACAGGCTGCCCTGTGCTTTCACAAAACTTTAACTGGGTTATGGTCTCCATGGGCCTCCATCCTCCCCTTTTAATCAGTTTTGGTTCTTTTGTTTGTTTGTTTTTTACTCTGGGACAAACTTTAAGTAGGTGGGAATAGTGGAAAAAGCACAAAACATGCTCAGGCTTGTATTAAGCAATGAGACTACTATTGAGGGAGGAAAAACCCTATAATCAGTGGAAAGAGCAAAGTCTGGACATTGAGCAATTCTAGCATATGACTTTAGTCACTTACAAACAGTAGCCTTTCACAGATTAGGTCAGCAAAGCTGTTGAGTTTTTCTTCGTTTGAATTATTGAGTAACAGAAGCACCTACATGCTTCTGGTACAGAAGTTAAATGCAGTTTTCTATGTTCTTATCAATGGTTAGGACTTCCACTGCATGAATGGAAAATAACTGCAAACAAACTGAGTGGCCCGGAAAATCTGAATATGATGAGAGAAATGCAGGATTTTAGTTGACCAACATTAATCTGAGAGCAAAACACACTTAAACTGAGGAAAACTGGAAACAACCTTGGGAAAACATGGAATATATATTCAGAAGAGAAAATTCTTTGATAAGATACACTGGTTCTAGGCTATAGTCTCTCAATTTTTTTTTTTTACTCTTTTAACTAATATATTAAAGGTATAGTCTAGGACTTTCGCAAATTTTTGAGAAGACATGCCCTTTCCACTTAAAAAAATGCACATTTCTCCTTGTGCACGCTCTGTTTAAAAGTTGCTGTTTGAACGCTCATGTAAGCTTACTCTTCAAAATAAGACTTGCAATTCTTCCCCTATTTCAGACTCACAACCGGTTAGTGAAAATGGGGACTAGTACATAGCACCGCTACATATCACCAGAATGATTGACAGTTAGAAGGACCACTTATTTTAAAGATCCACCTGCAAATAGAACATCCCCCATTATTCCTTTAAAAATGAAAAATTTATTTAGGTGGATTCTTTTTATTTTCTTTTATATATGTTTATACATTCTTTCATATAAAAAAAAAATCTGTACCTTCCAATGTTTTGCTGCAATTTAAATGCCATTATCTTTAAACTATTACACAATGCTTACACTTTTAGAATTTATGTTGTAAATCTAAGCACAATTCAATCTTGGAACCAAAAAAGGGTAATGCTGTAAGGGTTTTGTATTTATTAAAATGATGGTGGAAATACACAACCTGCATTTAAGGCTGTTGTCTTAAGAGGTTTTTATAACCTAATATTTAATTATATTTTAAATAGAGCCGCTAACTTTTGGGCACATTACATTCATCAAGAATAGGACACTGAACTTACCATTGAGCTTTAGATTGCAGCAATATACTTAAGCGAGTTTGGCACCATACAAAGGGGAAGAGGGAATTGCAGCTAGCATGGAGATCCTGTCAGGGAAGAAGAAGAAAGCACTTTTTAACACAAAAAGTAAAAGGATCCCATTTGATTGTAGTAAGAGTTGGTAAACATTGTAGCCAAAAACTATATGATTGCAATATTTGACATATCTTCTTTTGGTTGTTCTGTTTTTCGATTTTGGTTTCCTCAGTTTTTGTAATCAGCTTCAGCCAAGGATCTTTATTTCGGTGCATTTGTCACTCTGTGTTTATTTCTCTTGTATAAAACTCAATTTCCCTGAACCTGTAAATAACTTTAAACTTATAGTGTTTCTAAGATAAATTAATTTTTAATTAAAATGCCATTATGATGATTAAGTAGTCAAATTCTAAGTTTGATAGCTTGCTGAAGTAAAATCGACTTTGATTCCTTACCTATCTTCTTATTTTTTAAAGGCATTTAATTTAATTAGCTTTAGGACACTAGATCCTTCAAGCTGCAGCTGTACTGTACAGTGCCCTAGCTGACTGATAATTAGCTCTGAAAACTACCTCTTTGAATCTACCTTTCATGATCAAGCACCTTCTGACCTCTATACCCCACCTCAGGATGGGCTGCTCTACATCTTCTACCTGGCTGTTTTTTTAAACCCAGTCAGGGTGTACATGCTGTACATCAACAACTGCTTCAACATCCATAGCTTCAAAACCCTCATCAATTTTGCAGATAATACAACCATTGTGGGGGTGATCAACAATGCTGAGAGGGCATGACACAGGGAGGCGATCCTAACAGCCTGGGACAGTAATAACCATTTAACAGTCAAACGTGTCCTAACAATACACACCTCTACCTCTCAGTTTAATTATTTTCTTTTTGTTCACACTATTAAAATTACATTTTTATTGCATCACAAGTCTTAACCATATCTAACTGACTTTAAGTCTACTGAAATCAGATGCTGCCCAATAACTTTTCATTGTATCCTGTAGATGAACAGTAAATCTTGTTCCTTTTATGATTTAGAAACCTAATATTACTCATCCTCCTTTGATATCAAATTAAATGTTCAAATCTGTTCTCTCTGAAAAAAAAGTTTTTGCTAAAATAAACTTCTTTAATTTATTTTTATACATTTTACTGTGGCTAAAGCTGGTAAATGCTTGTTTTTAGACTAGGGGTCGGTCTATTCTATGAATAAACTAAACTCATCGCCAAGAGTAGATCATGTGACTTCCACCAAACAACCAAAGGTCTCCGAGTCTACAGACTATATTGATCAAAAAAAGAAAGAGGGCTGATAAACTCAGTTGTGCAAATCCACACTTTAGCTGATTGGTTGTTACAAGATAGGAACAAAAATGTTGATGTGACCAACTGTTTAGGATAAAGCAAGGCTCAAGGGTTGTGTTTACTCTGTCACAGGAGGTACAGGAGTTTTGTAAGTGGGTATGCCATTCAGAATGAGTCAATCTGAGTCAGGATATAAAGAGTCATTCTTGCCACTGTCTTGGTATCTGTCCTCGTGTTAGGTGTGTGTGTGTGAAAGAAGCACAGTAAGTTTGGCTATATCAGAGTCAAGACAGGCCTTGACGATGAAGTCCTGTGTCCTGTTCCTGCTGATATTGGGGAGCACCTACAGTGCACCAGTTGAACAGGGTGGCCTAGAGCCAGGTTCTTGTGAAGATGCATCAACTGTGGCCGCTGCTCATTTGGCCCTAAGGAAGATCAACCATGATCGGACGGATGGCTATGTCTTCAGTCTGCACCGCCTCTCCAATGTCAACCTGAATAGACATGTAAGTGAAACCAAATGAGCCCCATGGATGAAGCAGTATTGTTTGATCTAAAACACTGTTTACTCTGTGCTTTTAGTCTTTTACATTGATGATATGTATATGAACAACTATTACTTGTGCAATCATACAGTATATCCATCTTCAAGTTGTGTAAAGATCCGTTTGTTGAATAAATTGTTATTTGTCTGTCACAGGGAGAAACTGGAGTCGTTTTTTATCTGACTCTGGATGTTGTGGAGACCAACTGCAGTGTCCTGAGCAGGAAGGACTGGAAGCAATGCGAGGCCCGCCCTGAATCTGAGATGCCGGTTAGAATTTTAATTTTCACTCTCACACATGAACAAATCAATAAATTCTGTCCTGGAATTTGTTCTAATTACTAAATCATTCAAAAGTAAATTTTGGTTTCAACAAAGACAGGCTTTTTTACTATCTGTTTGAAGTGCTGCTTATTCCTTTAAGACATTTTAAAGTAATGCTGTGTAAAGAGAATGGGCAATGAAATTAGTGCGTTTTAGCCTTTTGGTTGTTAAAAATATGCCTCTGCTAAACCTATCAATATGACAATAGGAAAAAATGCCTTTCAAAAGTAGCAAAACATTATACGGTAGTATGCATTTGATTTAATTAAAAACAAACTTGAAGATATGTAAACAAAGATAGAAAAATATTTTTTATGAAAATGCCTAACGATAATCTTGAAAGCCCAAATTTTAAAATGCAGTATTTCAATGGGCTCAAAGACCTGTAAGAAAATTGGTAGTTTCTTATCTGTTCTGATACAAGCTACTGATATTTCTAACATGACTAGAAAACAACAACAATTTTTTAAACAATTTTTGTAGGTGCATTCTATATAAAACAATCTGTATGCAGTTATGATAGAATCTTTGTAATTTATTCAGATGTATATAAAGATGCTAGTGTTTTATGAAGTGGTCAATGAGCCCATAACATTAAATAAGGAGTATTGACATTTCAATTTTAAATCAGGACATAGGTTAGTATTTGATGCCATTCTGAGACCAAAATTCCCACTTCCCCAATTCCTCTTTGTATAGTACTTTCAAAGTACACTGCTATTAAGAATTAAAAAAGTATACCTACAGCACCAGTGAAAACACAAAACGGTGGTCACAGTTTTCATGTTGTTTGTTAAATATCACAGTAAAAACTTTAATTAAAGGCTTCTTTTTATAAGAGCTTGTTTTGACCTGAAGTCTGATAGAAAGACTCACATTATTCTTAAGGTTGAAGTTAAAAATGATTTAGATTTTAATATCCTTTACTTGTTTAATATATATATACAACTTTTTGTTATTTTTGCAGGTTTATGGACAATGTAAAGCTGCCATCTACATCAATAAGCCACATAGAGTGGTTCGCCTCTATAAATACAACTGTATTATCCGGCCAGGTATGAAAAAAAAAGTTTTCTTTCTTTCTTTTATTTTTCTGAATTTTGTTTGGTATATAGTTATTATGACAATTAATCAACATGTTTTGTTTAACATAGTTCCTGCAGCTAGGGTGGCACAGATTTGTCCCGACTGTCCAACTTTCATCAACTTTGATAACGAAAACGTCCAAACAACCGTGTCTCAATCATTAGAGAAGTTCAACAAAGAAAGTGGACTGAACAATGATTTTGCTTTGCTCAAAATCTTACGTGCTTCTGCCGGAGTAAGTTTTTTAGAAACATATTAATATTACATGCTATGCTGTTTTACTCCATATCTTGTTTTCTGGATAAGGTTAAATATACATTTGTGAATCATACATATTAAATAGACTCTCCTCAAAATGATAGATCAGCTCTTGGAGTATCCTATTGAAACTTAAACATTCTCTCTTTCCTTGCACATGTGTATAGATGGCAATGAGCATGTCATACCATGTGGAGTACACAATACAGGAGACCACTTGTGGAAAGTACAAGAAGGCGCCGCCAGGTGAAAAATGTCCTATCATGACGTGTGAATTTTCAGTAAGTAATATTAAAATTTCTTTTTTAAACTTTATTTGTCTATTAAACTGTATTGGTCCTTTTATGAGTTTTGTATGGAATCAGACACTCTAAAAATGTTCCTCTCTTCTCAGCACAAAGGCTTCTGTAAAGCCTCCCTCTACACCATTAATGATACTCCAGATGTCAGTGTAGAGTGTGAGATCTATGAGCAAGAAGTAAGACCTTTAATTTATTTATTTTAGATTACTGGCATCATTTTAAACCAGATAAAAATCTGTTAGTTTTAACTTTTCCATCTGGTACAAATCTGGATTTGCTTGACTTCCTACAGGCTGCAGAAAGAGAAAAGGCACTGCATCTGCTGGGGGATTCAATTGATCATGCCCACAATGACACACATACACATGGAAACGATGGCCATGATAAAGGTCACTCACATTCTACTGAACATGACCACATCCATGACCACACCAAGGATCACTCTCACCACAAAGTCCCACACCCTGAAGGTAGCAAACATCACCATTCTCATGACCATAGGCCAGGCAGTGCCCACAGGCACGGGCATGATCACTCACACGACCATGGGATTGATGGCGACCACGACCATGTGCATGCCTACCATAGCCAAGCACAAAACCACACCGGCGATTTTCCAAATCAGCATCATCACTACAAGCATCCTGAGGGCACCCACACCCATGCTCATGACCATGAACATGCTCTGGACCATGACCATAAGCATGCTCATCTGCACGAGCATGAACATCACCACCATCACCACAAACATGAGCATGAGAAGGAACATCATGACCATCCAGAAGGCATGGTGACGATGATACCCTCCATGGATCAGCCAATGACCTTGCCTTCATTCCCTGATGTTCCAGTAGCTGGACCTGAAGTTGGGGTCACTCTGCCCCTTAAACCTGACCCCAGAATTCCTGGAATGACTGAACCAACCATCCATGCCTTTCCAACATCTTTGTCAGCACAGTGTCCTGTTCCAGCAGCAGGAACTGGTCTGGTGAACAACCTGTTTGCAGAAGATCCCAGGTTCAAGCCAGCAGCATGATGGAACCTAATTACCCACAAACAGTAAAGACTTTTCTGTCTAAGAAAATTAAGAAACATTCCAAGGACACTAATTGGACACATTAGAACTCCCCATAATAATTGCTTAAGTATCACAACAGCAATTTTTTTTGTTCATTCTAGAACAGCAAAATTGTTAAATGCCATGTATTCTGACTATCGAATAAAGACAGAGCGTATAAAATAAAACTGTCTTCTATTTTGTGTGTTAGGATTTCTAAGCAAGTTATGATCAGAACCTGTAAATGGGTCATTTTTCAAACATAAGTTTTAAGTTAAGTCTAACTACTGATGTCTAAAACAACCTACTGAAGAATCATAATTAGTGTTGCACTGATACCAATGCCAATATCGGGCGGGGCCCCGGGCGAGCACTTACATGGTGGTATTGGTATTGGGGAGTACCAACAAAAAAGGCACCGATACCATTTTGAGAGCCAAAAGTGTATTCAACTATCGTCACCCATTCCAGGTAGGCAATAAAAGTTCTACTGGATTAATTTTGTATTAGACTTTTTCCTCCTTCACAAAGGTAGGCAGCAGCTTGCCAAAGCCATGATGGCAATTATTTTATATCCAAGTAGCATGCAGTCCTTCATATATATACACACACACACATCAATTTCAAACAGATGGAATCGGTATGGTATCGGTATCTGCCAATACTGCACAGCCAGGTATCGGGCATCATTTTTTTTTTTATAAATATGTAAACCTAACCATGAATAAAGGCTGTATCAGCTTTTAATGCCTGTATTTATCCCATTATCCCATGTAGCCTATTTAGGATATGGGTTAAGGAAGAAGCAGCATACCTGAACATTCTTGGATGATGTTGCTTTTTTATTCAAGCTTAAATGAACTCCATGAGAAAATCACAAAAATTAAAACCATTTCTTTTTATCTGTTATATGTCTTTTTTCTAACCTTCATGATTACTTTACCAGAGTTCCCCACTTCTAAAATGCTTCATTTTAGCAGAAAATTAACAGATACTGTAGTGATAATTTTAAAGAATCTGTTCCTTTTCTTACAGAATATTCTCTGTATCACAAAATGATACTGCAGAGTGCAAAGCATTTCATTACTTTCCCTTCACAAATTAATTAATTTGTTGATGAGGTTACTTCTTCTCTACAACTTTAGACAACTTAGCCCTTTTGAAGAACAAGGAATTAATTAATTGAAAAATGGCTCCTTTGTTTAATTTAGAGCTGCACAAACTAAAGCATAATATTAGGAAACTGGAGAGAATAGCACCAAATATCTCTCCTCATTGCTAAAGGAGAATGTGAATAATCATAGATTGTATTTTATAGAGTGGCCAAACTCACCCAGATCTATAGTTCTGCTGAACATTGTATTCCCTAAACTCATATGAGTAATAACTTTATGGGATTCTTTATAAAGTGATTGATTTAATCAAAAATAAGATCATTGGCACACTTCTAAAAATGAAATGAGGTTCCTTTCTGGAAGGTAAGGCAGCATTAGAGGTAACTATAGAACCTGAAGGGTGTTTGGAATGATTTGATCCAGTTGCACCTGTAAAGTGATCACAGTTTTTATTGTCCTCTAAGCCTTCAACTTACATGTTGGATCCAGTTGCAACCAAGTTAAATATGGAAGTATTCCCTCTGATTTCCACGAGTAATTCCGTTAAAATTAATCTAATACAGTGGTTTTTAAACTCAGTCCTCAGGACCCACTATCCTGCATGTTTTAGGTATTTACCTGCTTCCATATACCTGACTTGAATATATGGGTGATTGGCAATTAGATTCAATTTAGTTTATTTCAATGACTAATAACAAAGATGGTCCAGACACCACACAGTGGAGGAGGACCAACAGGGAGCAACTAACTAAGTTTGTTATAAAGTCCACTATATAGTCCCTGCTCTATCAAGTGATTGAAGGATTTAGGGGTTAGGCGGATGTTCAGCAAGGCATTTGTGACCATAGAACTGCTACTAACTGAATAATTTCTCTTTGTCAGACAATTCTCTATAATCCCTAGAGTGGTTGTCCTCAAAATCCCCAGTAGATGTCCAGTTTTTGAAATTCTCCAACCATCTGGCATCAACAACCGTGCCAGGTTCAAAGTCGCATCTTCCCCATTCTGATGGCCATTTTGAACTGCAGCAGATCATCTTGGACATGTCTAAATGCCTAAATGCATCCAGTTAGTGCCATGTGATTGGCTAATTAGGAATTTGCATTAACAAACAGTTGGACAGGTGTAACTAGTAAACTGGAGGGTGATTGTATATCTATACATCGACATAACAGAAGAAAAAAAAGAAGAGGAGTGTGGCTGTATGACAGAGGAGTTGGGGGGCATGGATGAGAATACGTGGCCCAATAGACCGGAATGTCAGAAGATGTAAGAAGATTATACTGAAATTCATACAGCACTGCAATTAACAATAATTGTCATCAAATCTTTAGCCATAGATTGGATCAGAACATCCCTAGAGTACACTCTTATATTCACAACATAACTAATAAATCCAGCTGTCTTATCTCTACATAAATATTTACTTTTGAGAGATAAACTGAGCATTATGAGAAAAAAGACTACCTTTTGCAGGCAATTTGTTTTGCATTGCAAATGTTGAGAGTGATTCGAGAAATATAGCAAAGTGTACAAGAAAAACTGTAAATGTACATGTACTTTATCACAAATCTGTCCTTTTCATATGCAACAAGCATATCTGTTTTGTTTTGAGTTTTTTCACAAAAAGGTCCACAACAAACTTTAAAAAAAAATGCAAGATATTTAAACTCAACACTGAAAACGCACACTTGGGTTTCTAAAGCAGAAAAAAATACATTATGACCTTTGTAAACTTTTACTGATAAGATCAGATTTTGAGACATAGCAAACAGCCCTTATCTAAGGACCTTTGTAGTTGCAAAACTGAAAAACAAAGTTTTCCAAGAACTGACCTATTTAGCAATTTCAAGTCAAAGGTTGTGATGAGATGTTAAAAAACATGATAAACAGAAGTTTAAGCTTAGCTGCATATGGAATACACACATATATAATTGTTTTAAATATAAAGTAAGGACCTTACATACACAACTATTGACTTCCATTAATTTTCTACTCTATTTACATCCTAACCACAACACTTACCCTAAACCTAACCATTAATTGTAGATACCACACCCTATCCTAAATCCTAAACCTAAGGCAACAAAGTGCGGACCAGTAGAAGGTCCTCACATTACATCATAGTGCTGCGAACGATATTGTCCTAAACTAAGTGTATTCTGGGATGAGATATTTGAAGCCCTCCAAAAACCAGAGCTGCACGGTGGATCAGTGGGTAGCGCTGTTGGCTTGCAGGAAAAAAGGTTCCTGTTTCAATTCTCAGCCTGGAATCTTTCTGCTTGGAGTTTGCATGTTCACCTTGTACATGTGTGGGTTCTCTCCGAGTACCCAGGCTTCCTCCCACATTCCAAAAACATGACTGTTAGGTTAATTGGTTAGTTTAATTGGCCCCACTGCAGCCCAGACAGAATAAGTGGGAGAGGATGGATGGATGGATGGATGGATGGATGGATGGATGGATGGATGGATGGATGGATGGATGGATGGATGGATGGATGGATGGATGGATGGATGGATGGATGGATGGATGGAAGCCTGCTGCTATGACCTCTGTGAAGACTAACAACAAGTAGTGCAGGCTAAAATAAATGAGCCATCATTGCCAGGTGGATGGAGTAGTTGCCTTCACTGTCCTGTTTCTAACATTACTTCAAAAATTAACTTATTTGTTATTGGAGATTATAACAATTAAGTTAATTATATGACAACTCACCTGTCCAGCAAAAGTCTCCTACCTCTGTGTCTGTTTTAATGCCCTGCTCTTTTATGAATTGTTCTATTATGTGTCATGGTTTTGGTTTTGTTCAAGTTTTATCTCTGAGTTTTCATTGGTCTTATCTTTTATTCTTGTGTTCTAGCTATTTTTGATTATATTTGAGTTCTTAGACATTTCCTGTTTGCCCTTTTGTGTCAGTCTCCTTTTCCCTAGCTCCCTTCTTACCTCTGTTCACACCTGCTCCCAATCTGCCAATTAGCCTGTTATTTGTTTCTCTCTCCCTTTTATTCTCCTCCTGCTCAGTCAGTCTTTGCTGGTTTGTCGTCATAACTTTGTCCCCTTCATGTTGTGAGTATTCCTTGTTTTCAGCATTTTTGGGGATTTTTACTTCTGTTGAACTTTTGTTATTAACCCTTCAAGTAACCACCTCAAGCGTATGTGTCTGCATTTGGGTCCTGTCAAACCACCTCCATTGTGACATTATGACTCTACGTGGTAACAGACACTCCAATGTAGAGTCATATTCTCCCACTCTTTACTTGTTTTGTCTTTCTTTGGTTATGTTATACTATAAACCATGGTATCGATTTTGGCATTGTTTGGTAAACTTTGAATATTTGTGGAGAAAAAATGTTTACCCCCCTCTCAAAAGACCATTGCTAGACACACTTGTGATCCTGCTCCCCACTGTACTAGGGAACAAAGACTTATACTCATGATCATTTCGGTGGCTCTTCACCCAACCACATGAATGGAAGGCCATGCAGGCCACAGGAATCAGAACCTCCTGACTGCCAAAAGTTAAAGTAGCCAATTGATGGTCTCAGAAACAGACTCTGCAAAGCAAAACTATCTGCAACATTTCTTTCTGAGTAGGAAACTTAAAGATCTCAGAGACTGGAGGCTTTTATATTAGCAGAAAGACATTCTGGGACTACAGATGAAAATTTGCCTGTATGGCTAAATCTGGTATATTTACATGCTACTCTTGTTGTATCTCAATTAATATGTATTAAAGAAAGCAGAGCAAAATATTAGCTTTCCTGCTGCAGGACTGACCTGCTTGTCATTATTTTGGCACTGATGACTGTCTTATATAATCATTCCATTCACCTGTCAAACTGCTTGGTTTCTCATCACTGCTCATCTGATCCACCTGCTCCTGCCTCTATTTAAGCTGCTTGCATCCAGTCATCATGCCAGACTATCCTCTACTCTCTAGCCAATGGTGACAGTGTTTTTAGAGATGCTTGGTATTTCCGATTTCCTAATCCTGACGTACTCTGCCTTTCAACAGCTGAGCCTGCCTGTTCCTGTCTGAAAGTTTTTTCCTGAACTGCCTTTGGAGTCCTGA